TGGATATCTTTGTGCCTGAACACACTGCCTGACTCCAATTACCAGATCGTTGAATGCGCAGAATTCTGCAAACAATTCTCCATTCTCATTCATTTCACCCAGCGCCTCTCGACCCATGGTTAGTTCTCTTCCCGTGTTGTCCCCTCCCAGTTTGGCATTCATGTCGCCCCGCCATTAGAATTTTGAAATCACCAACTGCAGTGTGGTCTTATCCAGTGTTGATTGAAGTTGTCTGTAGAAATCCTCCTTTTTCTCTTGCTCTGCATTATTTGTAGGTGCATAGCATTGTATGATTGTGACCTTCCTTCCTTCCTTCCTTTTGAGTTGAATCTTGCTGTCATGATCCTGGAGGACATTGGTTCCCACTGCATGAGAGCCTTCGATGCTCTTGAGGACATCATGATAGCCACTCCCTCAGTGTGCTCGTGGTTGTCGTCTGGGTGACCGGAGTAGATTATTGATTCTCCAGTTGACAGTTTGGAGAGTCCACTCCCATTCCATCTGCTTTCGCAAATCCCAAGCACTTCGATGTGATACCTTCTCATCTCCTTTGCAATCTGGGCTGCCTTACTGGGTTCAAACATCGTACGGACATTCCATGTCCCCACGTTTACTTTCGCTTTCATCGAGAGAGAGAAGACACATAGGCCAATTGGCTTCCCGAAGGCAGGCTTTCACCAACTGGCGTCATTTCGCCTCTCCAATTCCAGCGGGGAATAAGTTTGTTTTCATTTTTTATATTTTGTTTGTGCTTTGAAGTTTCTTTAGCGGTTAGATTTGTTTTACGGGGTAGGGTTGCTAGCCCTATGCCCAACCTTCCCTTTTTACCCGGGCTTAGGACCGGCTAGTAACTAGTGAACTAGTTAACCAAGCGACATAAGGTACTGTAATCTCGAGATTGCCGATGACTGACGGGTTCGTACGTCATTTATACCTTCCAGATCCTAAAGCCCATGTGTATCAGTGGTTCACAATCAATGTTTTTTAATTCCCGTAGGTTAATTGTCTCTATCCACCAATCCAGTAATAAGAGCCAACTATATACCTTCACTCTCTTTTATGAACATACCTCGACCATATGAAGGCAGTAAGCACGACTTCGATGGCAGAGGCTTTTGATGCGTGGTCAAATGACAACATTTCGAAAAGATGATCACGGTAACGCTACTCCAGACCATACTAGACCGTTTGGGTCAAGGTTTTCAAGACAGGTTCCTTAGCACATATTAACCTCCCTTACAATAAGTAGATGGATGGTAACCGAAAACCAAGAACAAGTGACTGAGACTCATATTATGAACACAGTACATCCACTAAGATGCGTCTTTCAAAGTTGATGATAAATATATCACTTACCTCCAAGATCACCAGCACCATGTTTCTTGCTGTCGTTTGGTGGGATGAGCTGAAAAGGTTTTTGAATCTTTTGAAATGCAGTTGCAACCTTTCATTGCACACTGTGATCTTTCAGGCGCATGTGGTTGCTGAACTCTACTAGGTTTTATTGCTATTACAACCTAAAGCATTTAATAAGAACTTGAAATTTTTTTACAAGAATACTCAGCAGCATTGTATAGGTTTTTTTCATAATACTGCTGATATTCTTACACCTTTTAGATCGATAATCAAACAATCAATGCAAACTTAGCATAGGTACGAAAAATTAAATTAGCTACCTAAGATAAACACCAAACACTACTTACATAACAAACTAATATCTAACAAAACCAGTGCTAAAAGGATTGGAACGATAAGTAAGAGTGGTCGCAGTTAATGGTGAACCGATAGAGAGCGATAACCAGTTAGTCGTGCGAACCACATATCATTCTGATAGTACTTCGGCTATCGCGAGAAAACTCACTCTTGACTGTTTCTTGTAATTACCAGTGCTTTTTGTACAGCTTTGGCTCCTTGGTGTAAGGAAATGACTTTCAACCAATGGACAACGGGTTCAAGCCCCGACCCACCTACCGCGGTTGGGCAATCCGGTAGAATTACAAGCCCCCATACCATAGGTGTGGCTGACTGTCAACTATAGGAATGTGCACAAGGCTGCTGAGTGCATTTTAACGGTGCTTGTTTCCCTAAGAGAACAACCTAACATACACAAACCTTAGCAAATGCTAAGTTATAACGAAATCGTCCAACCAGTACACATTGTTACATTTCTGAAAATCCTTATTGTTCATTGACGACACATGAACATAATAGCAAAATACACTAATTTTCAAGTCACGGTAGATGTAGTCAACGCACAAGACCAAAGCATGACATACAATGAGTTGACTGTCTGAAGTAGTCGTGGTTTTGGTTGTGTTGTGTTTTCTGAGCTGGTTTGTTTAATCCTGAAGCTTTCATCGTCTTGCTAGACGAAATCATCAGCACTAACCTCAGTATGAAGTGGGCTGTCAATATCTCTCCGTCAGTGATTTAGTAGCTTGCCTTGACGAAGTGGCCTATGATTGCTTGTTTCCTTAGATTGTTGTGTCATTGTATGGATTTCGCTGTTGGGTATCCCTCTGCTTGACCACTGACCTACCTGTCGTTTATCACCTTTCTTCTTGGTTGGTAGATTGGGTTTATGTCTATACATCTATTGATTGCTGGCTGACTGACCTGAATGCCAAGCTTCTAGAAATTCTCTGACATTCTTTGTGTTTCCTCTCTCCATCCAAAATTTCTACATTGTCGAAATTGAATTCATGTCCATGACTATCCACATCCATTGAGATGAGTGATGAAATGTCTTGACGTTTAGTAGCCAATTGATGTTCATGTACACGAAGACGAAGAGGGCGAACGCTCTGTCCAATGTAGTGTTGACTACAGTTATTGCAGTTGGTCTTCTAAATGATATTCGGTTTGTCTTCTTTGGTTATCGCATCCTTTGGTCTGCATAATGAGGGGTGTGGAGGGAATTTGTTGGTTTATGAGTGGCCACACCAATTCCAAGTGGTCTCAGTAATCTTGTCATGATTTCTGATATATTCTTTATGTGTGGTAGGATGATGCATTTATTGATTTCTGTCAATGACTTTGTAGTTGATACTGTACGAAATAGGCATCTTCTAGTAAAGTCTCGTGGGTAACCGTTCTTCTTTACAATACACATCAAGTGATTTTCTTCGTTTCTTCGTGTTGTTGCACTGCAGTGCGTCCTTCCTATTTTGAATAGAGTCTGCATTCAGGTAATTTTGTGCGTTGTTGCTACTGTAGTTGAAGATTCGGTCAGTGTGTGTTGGCTTCCTATACACTTGGGTTTCCAGCTCTCCGACATTTGTCCTACTGACCAGATAGAACATCCAGGAATAGTAGTTGGTTGTTTGAATCCTTCTCCGTTGTGAATTTGATGTCATTGAAAACGTTGTTGATCAAACTGTGTGTTTTCTATATCATCTTTTTTAATGATGACAAAAGTGTCGTCCACATGGCGAATCCAGAATTTTGTTTTGATCACAGGTAGGGTGATGGCTTCCAGTCTTTGCATCACTGCTTCTGCTATTAATCCGGATATTGGTGATCCCATTGCAGTTATTTTCACCTGTTTGTAAATCTTGCCGTTGAATTGGAAGTATGTGATCATACAAAGGTCGATGAGTTCCATCAAACTTGAACATTTGAGTTTTGTGCGTTCTGAAAGACTTTTGTCTTCAATGAGCAGGAGGGACATCGTTTCCTTGGCCAATTGAGGTCCGATGGATGTATATAGTGCTGTGACATCGAAGGATTTCACTAACTCGTCGTTTTCTATGTTAATGCTTTTGATTTTTTCTAAGAATTCTGTTGGTGACTTGATGGAATGTCCGCACGATTGGATGAGGTGTTTCAGTTTTCTCGAAAGTTCTCTTGGTATGTTGTGTGTTGGAGTCCCCAGAAGTGAGACTATTAGTCGTAGAGGGATATCGGGTTTGTATTTTTGATCTGCAGTAGAACCGAGGAAAGACAGGTTTATTTGATTTCATTCGCCATTTGTCTTGCTTTGTTATTTTTTCTGCTTGAAGAGTTTGTTTAAGGTTTTACTGATCTGGTTGTCGAACTTCTGCATAAGGTTAGTTTCAAGCAGTTGATATACATTTTCGTCTTTGAGTAATTCCTCTGCTTTCCTGATGTAGTCTTCTCTGTCCATGACTACTGTAGTATGTCCTGTGTCTGCTGGAAGTATACTGATGTCTCCTATTTTTCAGCCTTTTTAATGTTTCCTGTTTTCGAGCGTTCATTTGAGCGTGATGTCTCATCTGCCTGGTTAGTGGTAAGATCGCTTGCCGTATTTCTTGTTGAGTGACCCCTCATTTAATCCGGATTTTTCAAGTGAAGATTCTTATGCCGCAAAGAATTCTCATTTTGTGGCATCTCTTGTGTTGTAATTCAATCCTTTTTGAATGAGCAGTTCTTCCATTTTTGTAAGTGGTTTTTTGACAAGTTGGCAACAGCCGTTTGTTTCATCGGATGAAGGTACTCCTAAGATTTTGAGCAGCTTTGTCTTGAGGACGTTTCTTCGTTGTTGTTTGTATCGTCTGCTTGATTTTTCAATTGCAGTTGTCAGTGTTGTCATGCGTTGTGTTGTGAGTATGCTTTCTAGTTTTGCCTTTTCATTGTTAATCACTGATTGGTATTTCCGGATCCGATGATGTGCATCTGTGATAATCAATCGTTCCATTTGTCTTCCACTTTGTTCAGCTATTTTCCATCCCATTCGACAGTTAATCGGCGGTCTAGAAAGACGATGAAAGCTTCACGATTAAACAACCCAGCTCAGAGAACACAATACAACCAAAACCATTCACCTGAGCTACAAATATTCTCCACTATTTGAAAATTATACGTAGCCGTGGTTTGACAGACTTGTTAGGAATGCAACGCCTGCTCATTCAGCAGTTCATTTCAAAATATAGTTACCTCAATAAATAGATAACATACAGTGAAACAAATGATACAAAAAGTCAAAACGGTAAAATTGTTGGTACTTTAGGTATACAGCATTAAAACTAAGATCAACATACCATAAGAGCGCAGCTGATCAGCCATGGTTTCCAGCATACATCTCAAGCGGAAACGACAATTGAAAGTGGTTCCACAGATAGGGTCATTTCAAACCAATGGTTTCCAGGGGACTGTTTTAGTTCAAACCAGTCATCAGAAGTTTGAAAAGTGGGATTGACATATATCACTGGCAGGTATCCCTTTGAACTAAGCTGGATCCGTCGAGCTATTTCTAGAGGTATATTATACCGACTGAAAGATATAGCAGTATTAAGTACATAAACACGCAACGTCGACAACCAAAACGGCACGAGCAAACCCTCATCTTTACTTGATTCATTGGATGATACCTACATATATTAAAATACTTTCATGAATTCCAGATCTACATATTCAGAAAAGTGATTTCATAAAAGCACGAATGCATAAAATGGATAATCTGCAATAAAGCTTTTAAGTAGCGGTAGATGAGAGCCATACTTAGAGAAATGAATCCACAATATCTAGTGAATTCTGCTGACTGAATCAGCCACAAACGTATACATGCAAGTTATCATATTTTAAATCGGTGGCGAAGCAACATTAATAAAAAGTAACGAAGACAACAATATAAACACTAGAAATCAATAAGCAAGCAAAGAAAGCAGTAGAAATGAAGATAAAAAACAATATTAATATCAGGTTTAAGAGTAAGATAAAATAGCATTGCATCAGTAACATGACCATCTCCAATTCGGTATCCAACCATTCGGAAAAAAAACTTTTGGTTGTGAAATTGCTATTTCTACTTCAAGTACCATTCGCCTGTTTAAGTATCAACGCTCCTCTAACCACAGTAGAACTTCAAGAAGAAAACAGTAAAACAGACCAAGTGAACTACCGGGCAAGTAAAGTTGACTGGTGAGGAAAGATAATAAAAATGACCTTTTCCACGTGCATCTCATTTGAAAAGGTTTCTGTAGTAAATGGCTGATCGTTGTAAGGTTCCTGGTACAACAAGAGCTGAGGCTTTGGGTAATAAAATGGAAATTTCAAAGGAGGCCACATCATTCGCCTGAGCAGTTTATTAGTATATTCGAGACTAGATGTGACGACTATCATGCGAACCACTAGCAACACGAGGATGTAACTTAGATCGACAATGCTCCACATAGCATTTAGATACAGATATTCAAAGAACAGCTGACATGCAGACAAATCTAGCATAACATTTAACAGACGGGAGTAAAATTAAGTGCAAGCTAACTAATTAGCATGCAGATGTTTTTAAGCAACTACAAGCAGACGTTCAAAATGACCATGCTTTAATGTCGACTATTAACACCTGCCGAGCAAATAGAATCATTAAATGTTTACCCAACTTACGTTGCTACTCAACAGGTTAAAAGCCATTCGAAAAGGTTCCTTATAGCTCATCAAACTTATATCATTGCTCCAAATGATCACATTTTTATCCGTTAGCAGCTGCAAACGAGCCGTCACATTTGCCTCATTAATTACTAGCGAAGGGACGGTAAAGTTAAATTTTCTTTACACATGAAATTAATCAAAAAAGAAATTACGTCACAATCCCGCTGTTAATCTGGAAAATATCGGTTTTCAAAATGGTTTCGACCAAATTGCCTTTCACGAAGTTTAAGTGTATCTTGAGAAAATGCCTGAATATAAACAGACATACCTTGAAATGGTCATCAGACTTCCATGCTGGTGACAGACATTGCAGAGATGCTTTGCAACTTTGAGGGTAAAACACCTCATATAACGACCACGCAACAAAACAAAAGTAACCAAGAGAAATACAAAACAAAACGTGACTCAACTTAAACATGTGCTCATGCGAAGTTTGCCTTTAGATGACCTTCATTTTAACGATGGTGAGGCTATACTAACAAAACCCTAAACATCAAACTTCTTGTTTTTGAAATATTGGACTGCAAATACCTGATTTCCACATCTGTACAGTAAAAAGCTATTTGTTAGAAATGTTCACACTTCTTGTCCCGTCTTTCAGGAGCCTTATCAGATAGAGATAATCAACTATTGCAATTCCCCAAAATCAACAGACTACGGTTTGGTGAGATTCAGCATTGATGCTGACCGTCGTTGTCTTATCAGACCCGTCAAGCTGAAGATACATGGTCAAACATCCACGCCATTTGGCACGAAGTAGTATTACGTTGCACTGCTCGTGGTCGATCTTCTGGTCAGCTGGCCGGAACGCATAGGTATTTCGGGACGATCGCTCAAATATACCAGTCCCATCTGCCTATGCCAGTAGGTTCTTCTTTAGTCGCGCATTTGTGGGTACACCGCAAGCACGGATGGTTAGTGACTGGCCTCTGAATTTGTTGCTTTCGCACAAAAACATTTCCCAACCACCTATCCGGGATTTAGGAGATATCAGAGACGCTTCAAGGATTTCTCCTGGTGCGAACTTGACAGACGCAAAGACCAATCGCCAATTATTCGGACTCGTTATATACCCACGAATACGAGACCAAGGAAGAACACGATAGCGCAATCAGATGGAATAGTATATTTGGATGGTTGTGCCAAAATACCGATGCGTTCCAACTAACTGGCTGGAGAGTCGAATACGAGCGGTGCAACGTAACACGACAGCGTGCCAAATGGCGAGGATGCTTGACCGGGTTCCTTCAGCTTGGTGAGTCCGGTTAAACTATCAAGGTCAGCATCAATGTCGAAGGTCGTCAGACCCTGGGCTGTTGATTTTGGGGAAGTGTGTGACGCTACAGATCACTCCTCACCTAGTGGGTTCGTTACGATACCAGCCGGAAGTAAAAACCCAGTGGAGAAACCACTGGTAAAACTCTCCCGATGGGCTCACAGAGTGAAGTGGCCCCTGGTTGTCTGAACTTATTTTAGGGTGTCGTGGCAATTAAATAATAAAATACAATAAATCGAATTGTATGTCGATCGCAATCCTCAGTTTTCTTTGACGTTCCGTCCAGTGCTCGTTGCACCTGGAATATAAATGAAAGTCTTTATTATCATAAAAACGCTTCTAAAAAATGGAATTATGTATGTACAAATATACCGAAAATTAAGTTTACGCTTATTTTCACCCTCTTTTAAAAGGGGTTTCATTACATGGTAATAAAAAATTGATATAAAAAGGCAAAATGTACGAGGATTTGCGCGTTGCCGGTAAATAAGAAAAACAGTGCCTGGGAAAAAAATTTGTCAGTAAAAAAACATGGTTGGCCCATTTATTTCACACCGCTAGGTTGAATAAGACTTTAAATACTCCGGAACCTGACGGTTCGACCTGATCGTGTTTTCTGTTGCGCCGATGGTTGTTGCAACTGTGCATTACCAGGCACATCGTCAAGAATTTCGATAATTGAGCTGTCCGTCGGTCGGCTGTAGCTAGCTGAAACGTCACTTATAATGCGGTTGCCTTCAAAATAAGCTGGTTTCAAACAGCCGATACTGGCAGTATCTTCACGTCCGTCTCGCTAAATTATGTAGAATTTCTCGTGTCGCTTGATCACTTTGAATGACCCATCGTAGGGTGGTTCAAGTGGTCGACAAACGGTGTCGTGGCGAATAAACACGTGGGATGTCTTTTGTCAACTAGGGTGAAGGAAGACATCAGTCTTCTGAGGTCTAACCGGAGAAGGCCTAACTGAACGCATTGCGTTTGTAAGCCTAGTCACATAAGATGCCCTGTCCGAAACATGTTTGAAAGTCGAAACAGAAACAAAATCACCTGGTAGGCGAAGAGTGGTCCCATAGACGAGTTCTGCGGGGGGCACACCCAGCATCAACTTTCAAGGCGTTACGAATACCTAGTAGGACTGGAGGCAGAGCCTCGGGCCGCTGAAGTATGCTTGCAGCTGAAAAGGAAACTTTCAGCTGTCGATGGAAACGCTCTACCATGCCATTAGCTTGTGGATGGTGGGCTGTCGTTCGGAACCGAGTGCAACCTAAAAGTGTCGTCAGAGCGTGAAATAATCCACATTCAAATTGGTGAGCATCAATGTCGAAGGTCGTCAAACCCTGGGCTGTTGATTTTGGGAAGCTTGTGACTCTACACGCTTATCAATGTCACCATGCAGGACTGTAAATGTGCATTCAATCTTCCTTAAGTCATCGGGAGACTGGATTCTACAAACATTTTTATGGGGAGAATTCCACAACTTACAGATCCTAACTACGAACGAGTTAGCGGGGACCCTCGTCATAACTCTCTTATTCTGTATTCCTAAAAGACGACCTCTAAGACATGATTTCTAATTACACCTTAAGATGGGTCTGTTAGGACAGAAGGATTACTATTGGCGTCTTCGTATACTATGGCGACATCTAACCTGGCCCGTCCGTGTCGTAACACTTACAGCTCAAGAACTAATGAGCGATGCAGATAGGCTTCTCATTGTGTTCACATCATCTCTCTGTAGCTATTCTGCTAGTCGCTTTCAGTTCGGTGGTGCTTTTCGCAAACGAAAAAGACAAAAAGCAAATCTTTCTCCGGGTCCTTGACAAATAAATGGTCCCTGAATTTTTTGGATGAATAGACTGGAGGTTGGACGAAATTTTAGGGCTAGATAATCCCGCTTTGCTGCAAGGTGAAGCAGGGGGAACGAAATCAGCATTATTTTTAATATTCCATGCACGATCAGGGAATCAGTGACACCTCAGCGCAGACTAATGAAGAAAAAAGTTAAAATGCATACAGCTCACCAAATGGAAGCAATTTTTGCCTCATTGTTTTGTTGGCGTTAACAGCCCTTTATTCTGCACCCAACAGGCATTACTGATATTTATGATAGGCTATGAAGCGCAAATTTAGGAACAGCTTGAAAATAGCCATGCCTTTACCTTTAATGCGCCCCACTTCAAGAAGTTTTCCCGGTCTGCTGATAACTGTGAATGCTGAACATTTCATAAATCCAAGCATCGTTTTAACCGGGCAATATCCTAAATATAATTCAGCATCTAATTAGCATTTAGACTTCCATGATGAGATTCCAGTGCCAGAAGTTCGCAGTTATCAGAACTACTCGTCTCAGATGACTAGCTCTTTGAGTATCAACGGGTTTAGTTGGTCTTTTATAGTGGATTGTACTGCGAAGATTGGCCCGAAAACGATCCACATGACAATTTCCCCAGACTTTCCGGAAAACACACTGCTGACTAGCTCATTTTGTCCCCAGCCTTGTTCCAAGTTCCTATTTTAGTCTCAAGGAATCGGAACTTAGTGAATTTGTGGCCCCTCAGTTCCACAGTAACACAGTTCCAAATACACCACTTTCTATAACTTTGATGTGTTTATTATTTATCATATTTTTTCCCACAGTGGGCACCCCCTCATCTGTGAAGTAGCTCCTAAGCAGGCTATCGGTAAACCGATTAAAGCGGGCATATCTATCCTCTGGTTACCATCGCTTGCCAAGATACAAACTTTCACTGCTTTGAATGTCTTCACCCTCAGCCTGCGGTCACATAGTTTAAAAGCCTGCTCATTGCCCAGAACGCTTCTCTTGGATGCGGATAAATTGTGCTCCAGACAGTAGCTTTTCGGAAAGACCGTTCCCATCTTTCTTGCATCAGCACTGTCTGCGCTATATCACGGAAGAGGTAACGTAGTGAGTGGTTATTTCAGTCAATGTATTATGTGACTGTACACTGCAATTTGCCTTTATTTATTACATTTAAAAAGGTAAACAACTCTTTTGATCACAAATTATTGATCCCTACCCATTCGGTGAGACTGTACACTCCTCAAGAATTCCATTATCTCTAGCTGCAATAAAACCACCAACTGCTAGTTATTATTCACTGCTGACTGACATCGGTTGGAGAACCGCTAAAGGTCTGGGTGCACTAAAAAGCTAATTTAGCGTGGGATGGTGACCACAATCCTGCAAGCCATCTAATCTAGGACCTCCAGATCTCATGATGAGTGCACCTACTACGGAGATATTTAGATAGATCCCAGTGGTCCACACTCCCCCGCATCAATCAAACAGCGACATGGCGCGACCATGATAGCAATAGTCGAGCTCTTCCGAACACAAAGTATGACAGTGCGGGATTTTCAGCACGTGATTTTTCAAAATATTCCCTCCCAGAACGATACTTTCGGATGAAATGGTCGTTGCATCCACATGATTTTAATGACAACAGTACTCAAGGCAGTGATATGGAATAGCCAGCTGATTCTGGGTTGGCGTCCCGTCTATAAAGAAGAACCAACAGAGTTGCATGCAAAATGTTGGTGGTGGTTCATTTGGACAACACAAAAATCTGCAGCTCAAGCTAAGCATCTGATGGATGGAAAAGTAACGTGGTTTTTTTGCACCAGAAAGCCCAATTCCATATAACAGCATTTTTTCGCTGCTTTGTGATCAGCTTGAGAAGTGAGGGACTAAAAACAGTTCAGAAATGTGCCGGAGTACATGATACGTCCAAAGAACATATTTTAACGACTAAAACAAACTGAAAGTAGAGAACTCGGTGAAAGATGTTCGGTAGGTAAATCTTGTAGCCCATGGTTCGGGCAGGCCTAGTCCAAGATCGTCGGCTGATATTTATCGCACTTCTGACTTCGTCGGCCCGCAGGTCACGGCTTCGTATTGGAACCACGCGATGGACAATTTCCAAGCATGTCACCCGAGAATACCACGCTGTAGTTTCATCTTGGGCCGTAGGAGTTTATTTATTTCAAGGTTGCATTTGTCACTGAGGAAGTCGCGAGTGGATAAAGCTGAGGAGTCCCACACCGGGAAGGGATAGCCGACCAGTGCTCTCAGGTTACCTATGGTTCCCCGACTGATGCCAGTTTGTGACGCGTACCAACTC